ATTTGAAATATATATATATATATTTTATCTTTAGCTACTGGTTCTGATTTTGTCTTATGCTGATTTTAGTTTTAGCGAACATTTTTCTATTAGCTCTTAGCTACTTTTAAAATTTACCTAGCAATTAGCTGCTTTTAGTTTTTAGCTATAATTTTGATTATTTTTAACTTTGTTAGACTTTTTCTACTTTTAGCTTCCAGCATTTTGCTACATTTAGTTATAGCTAGCAGTTTGCTACTTTTAGTTTTTAGCTATTTAGTGAGTTTTAACTTCTAAAACCTCTAGTTACCTTCTAGTTAGCTTTCTGCTTCTTTTAGCGAGTCTTTTGTTTTAACCTTTAAGTAACCTTGTGCTTGTTTTAATGTTTAATATTTTACTCCTTTTATCCTTTAGCTTTAGCTGCTCCTTTTATTCTGCTCTGCTCTGTGGATTTTATGTTCTTGTTCAAACGTTAGCTCAGTTTCAGCCTCTTCACCGAARGTCAGTGAAGTCTTTCGGCGCTCAGCGTTCGCCTCGTTATCTGAAACCCTCTGTTTGTGGCGTCAGCTGTGGAGCACCTTGTGAGGGTTGGCCAACAGTAGAATCTGAGTGACGGCAGCTGGAGGCAGGATGGGGTTGAAGGCTGGGAGCTCGGTGCAGGAAGGAGGCTGCAGCTTCACCTTCATCACCTGGAAAACGCCAAGTCATCGTCACAATAAAAACAGGTAGTTACGTCCTCACCAGGCGATAATTATTACACAGAAACTTTAAAAACTGAGTGAGCAGAACTAGATTTGATTAACGGTGGTAAAAATAATAATAATAACTGSACCTACTTTGGGCACAGCTGCCTGGAAGCGGATGCTGGTGACGGGGATGGGGGCCGAGGACAGCATGGAGATGATCACCACCAGAACATCAGGTCTGGATGGAGGACAGTTGTGTGTGAAGGTGAACAAAACTCTGAGACTGTGTTTGTCAAAGACAGTCACCGGTAACAAGCTGCCTGAAATGGAAGACAAATTACAWAGAAGGGATTAAAATATCTAAATAAAACAACAACTTGTAGGCATTTTGGATCTCAAAGTTTCAACTAAAGATATYGAGTTAAATTCATGCCATWACATTGCACACAAATTAAACGGGTTGCACACAAATTTAACACGTTTCACAAACTGTCCTCAAACTTTGTGCACACAAATAAAACAGGTTTTGAGCAAATCAAACAGGTTTCACACAAACAAAATGGGTTACACACAATTTTTGTATGAAACTTGGTTTATTTGTGTGAAACCAGTTTTGTTTGTGTGAAACCTGTTTGATTTGCTCAAAACCTGTTTTATTTGTGTGCAACATATTTTGTGTGTGTYCACAAAGTTTGAGGACAGTTTGTGAAACGTTTAATTTGTGTGCAACGTTATGGCATGAATTTAACTCCATACCAGGATCCTTTGTTCCGATTTTAGAACTCACTGGGTTTGATGGATTCCAGAGGGACGGTGACGTCCGTCAGCGAGAGGCTGTCGCAAGAATCACACGAGCTTTTCTCTGCGACGCTAAGACTGGAGAAAAGGAGGGTGGCGGGCGGATCTGAATGGAGGCTGGGCGTYGGCTCAGGAGCAGGAGCGGGTCCAGAACTGGTGCCAGATTTTAATTGAAGATCTCGCAAAGGAACTTTAGACTGAGGCTGGAGTTTATCCCTGAAAAACAAAGTTCTGTGTTTCACTTCATCTGGAAATGTCTGGGATTTTTATTCCCGAGTAGTTTCACTCACCATTTCACCTGCTGGCTTTCTGGAGGTAGAGACTGTTGTAGCAGCGTTTTCCCCAGCAGCTCCAGCTCTTCCATGGCTTTAGGCGGAGRGGCGGAGGCACCTGCTGGTGGAGTGTGGGACGTTTGGACCACAGCTGGCCGTAACGTCGAAGGCTCTGCAACATTTAGTATCTGAGAACAAAACAGGTGTGTGAAGAGTGGAGATGACTTTCAAATTAAATCTAAACCTGCTCCAGCAGCGTCTTATGCCTCACCTGAGAGGAGACGCTGGAGTCACAGTTTTCTGWTGCATTCAATCCTAAAAACAAAAAGAAATTTAGATAAAATTATTATTTTCAAAAATTACTGCAAATATCTGCATCAAATTGTGCCAAATGTTTGGGTTTTAATACCAAGAGACATGAGTTCATCGTCTAAAAGGGTCAATCCCACGTTCTGAGCCTGTGGGACGGAAAAGTTTGAGTTGGGCAGTTCGGCCTTGGCTGAAACACTGAGTCCTTCCAGGTCCAGAAGAGCTGAACTGCTGCTGGATGATGAGTCTGCAGAGACGTGGATGGAATTAGGCCCAGATTAACGCAGCGTAACGCTTTATTCTGCAGGAGGAAACAGGAAAGAGCACCTGGTTGTGAGGATCCAGCAATCCCATCTTTCGTCACCTCCTCGCCCTTCACCAGCTGCCTGTACAGGTTGATGACCTGCGTCAAGCTGTCGTTGGCCTGCAGGATGTCCGCTGCCGGGAGGAAATTGGTCAGCAACGCCTGGGCTTTCAAACCTTAAGAGTCAGATCCAAACTTACCTAAAGCTTCATCGTTGTCTTCAGTATCGCTCGCTAATCTGAACAGAGTAGGCCTCATCTTTTCACAGCGCTGGTAAAGATCCTGGAATTTAAATCAGGTTTCAATAAAAGCATTTTCTGAGGGCTGCCTGTAAGACTACTATGTAGTTAGAGGAAAGTGCAAAGGTTCATAAATAATGGAGTCTKACCAGCATATTTTTACAGAAAACAAACAACAATAAGCAGCTATGTCTGGCCCCTCCCACCTAATGTCACGCTGAGCTCACCTTGATGAGCTCCTGGTTGCTCTGGGAGCAGCTCTCCGCTCTATATCCCTCCAGCAGCTGGCTCAGCAGGCTGACGCTCTCCTTCACCTCCTGGATGGCGTTCACTCGCTTCGACACTTTCTCCACTCGTTTCTGATCCTGACAGGCAGAGACGAAACGGTCTCGTTACGACCAACGACTCTGACAGGACAAAGTTTTAATGTACCGTCCAAAGACGTGTGTTAAGAATGAGACATTCCTCTCATTCTTGATAGAGAGGAACGTTGGTTTGAGAGAGGAGTAAAAGAAGCCATTTTTGTGAAGAAAGACCGTCCATCATTAAACAGAGGTGGAGGCCTCCGTTTTCAGTTGTTCCCCTCCTACAGTGCGGCTATTGCCAGTATCACTCCACCCCTGTTAACAATAGGTGTTAATTAGGTGTCAACGATAGCCATGTGATGTGAGTATCAGTCACATCACAAAAGCCTGAATTTAGCCTGAAACTCTCAGACTGAAGAAGTCTCTTGGAGGAGAGACGAAACGTTTCATTAAAGAAGAACCCGTCCAGAAGACCTTTACAAATTTTTTCTTTTTGATTTTTTACCTGGATTACTGAGATGCATCAGGACAATCACCAAAAAACAAAACTTTGAGCCTTTAAATTGTATAAAACGTTTCATTTAATGGAACCACTTACYACCTGCTTATTGAAGCATTTATCTTTTTTTTAAGTTTTATTGAGATTATTTTTGTTCTTTGTGTACTGTATCYCTTAAATATACAGATTTTGTTTTATACAACATATATATTTTTTTAATAATTGAAATTGCTTCTGAMCTATTCAGTGAAGTCTGAGTTCACAAAGAACTTTTCATGCTTGGAAAGCTAACACACAACATGAATATAAACACATACGCACGCTGCAAACAGCACAGCTCACCTCCTGAACCATTTCCTTAATGAGCTTGTTTGCTGCTCTTAAATCATCAGGGTGGGAGCTCTTCAATAAGCGGGACAGCGTCTGCAAAAACATGATAAGAGCAAACAGGAGGGGTGAAGGAAAGCGGAAGAAAAATTTATAAATAATGATTCCTTTAAGAAAAATCTTTCAAGGACTCTGACTTCAGCTGATTTGAAAGATATTTGCCTAATGTAAAAAATTTATAAAGGACTTTCTTTTAGTGAAACTTAGTAAATTACATTATCTTGTGATGAAACGTGTTTGTTCTCAGAGTATATCACGGGGATGACTCTCAGCTACTTCCACACTAAAACTGAGCTCAGCATCTGTAATATTAGCTGAGTTACAGCTGTTTTTGTGTTCGCTAAGGTCGCTAAGAAGTGGCGGTCATCTTGGATGGGGCTGACACCAAATCGTAATGAGTTGTAAATGATTATTCACAAAGAGTTTCATTTAAATAATTCTGACTGTCCAACAAACACAGAGACACAAACGAGCAGATTATCGCTCCTCCTCCATTGCTTACCTCCATGTTTATGTTTATCACGAGGCAGAGCACAAGCCTACGGGATGCGCTTCTCGCCTCTCATACCAACCTTGGATTTCTCCTCGTCCTCAAAGATGGCACTTTTGGTTCTGGGTGGAGGGGGAGGCAGCGGCTTCTCACCGGGAAGCACGGGATCTTGCTTCACAATGCCTGAAAACAGCAGTTAATTAAAAAAAACACATTTTAATTAATTAATTAACATCAACAAAACAGATAGTATTTGATGCACTCACTGTTTGTAGATATTTTACAGAACAAAGTGTTACTCCTGCTTTACTGGACATTTACTACAAGCATAAACAAGTCTTATCTACAACTTATTTATATTTATCTGTATCTTATGACAACTGTTTATTTCTGGGGAAAACCCATTTATGAGAAACTCTATTACACATGACCCAGCGTCAGGCTTGTGCTGAAAGCAGAAACGATATCAGCGACGTGCTGGAAAGAACAAACTATGGAGAACTAAAAACARTGGTTAAAGAAGGGAACTGCAAACTTCTGCAAACCTGTGTGGCAAAAATTTGGAATAAACACTCCTCACGAGTAACAATGAAGAAAAAAAACTGTTTTTGTGCTCACCCTGTTTTTTCAGCATCTGATAAGCTTCGGCTATCTTGGTCTCATGGGGATATCTCACAGTCCAGCTGTACATCATTTCAAAAATCTTCTTCTTCACGGCCTCAGGAGCCCGGCTTCCTAAATACTACAGAGTCAGGAGAGATCGATTAAGAAAGACATTATTTATTTTATAGAAATTTAAACTAAGGCTGGAAAACCGCATTGCAAGTGTTTTGTTTTATATAACACATTATTAAAGCTGCAGAAAGGTGTGTGTATATATATATATATATATGTGTGTGTGTGTGTGTGTGTGTGTGTGTGTGTGTATAAAGTGTTGCTGCTTTGATAATCAAAATGTATTCGACACATTCTCAGGGGTATAAAGTTTCAACCAGACTGCTCTGTACGTTCTTACCTTAGGTGAGACCACCTTGATAAGCTCGTTAATAAAGCGAAATTTTCCCACTTCGTCGTGAAACCTCTTCCCACAGTTCTGAATGCACGTCTCCAGAACCTGAGAATGGGACAAGGTTCATCTTCACACACAAAAACAAGCACAGCAAACGATAGATATCACTGAGCGCTGCAGGGTAAACTCTTACCGTCAGCGCTTGCATTGCCTCCCACTCCTGAGGAGACTGGATTTTGTGGGCCAGGAGTCTGGTTGCAAGCTGAGGCCTAAAAAACCCCAGAAATAACTAGAGAAATTGCATTTTCTGTGAAAATGCTAATGTGAATGCTGATTGCTGTAAACTTTAGCTCAAAGCTGCTGAAATGGAGCTGAAATTTTTAATAGTGAAACAGTTAATGAGAGTTCAATTAGAAAAGKTGAAAGAAGCAGAATTAGAGTTGAAACAGTATAAAAATCTAAAATTAGCATAAAAATAAGCTAAACGTAGCAGCAACAAGTTGAATTAGCAACCAGATGGTGAATTTTAACATTGAAAGAAAGAAAGAAAGAAAGAAAGAAAGAAAGAAAGAAAGAAAGNGAAAGAAAGAAAGAAAGAAAGAAAGAAAGAAAGAAAGAAAGAAAGAAAGAAAGAAAGAAAGAAAGAAAGAAAGAAAGAAAGAAAGAAAGATTAGAATAAGGAGCACAAGTTTGCTTAACTTAGCAGAAATAAGTCGTAAAAATTACAAACAGGCTTTAGCTTTAAAAAGTTAACTTTACCTGGTAACAGCTGAGCATTTGCTAAAATTGCAGCAAATAGCTGAATATAGCAGAAAGCAATTGTAAAAAGCATAAATAGCTCAAATAAAGAAGCACAAAAAGTAAACAATAGCAGAAGAACAGCAGAAAGATGCAGAATTATAGCTGAAATAGCAGGAAAAAAAACTAAAATTAGCACAAGGAAGTTAAAAAGAGCAGAACCAGATCAAAAGGTGTAAGGTGCTGTAAAGATTTAGAAACATTTTGAAGGATTTTAAGTAGATCGAAAATGGCCCGTTCATTTTCAACGGGAGGTACAGTATGTGGACAAATAGGGGAAATAGCTAAAAAAAATTTAAAAAAAAATAAAAAAAATTATACATAGTTGAAATACCAAAAGTCATAGCCGGAATGTCCTGAAGTAGCTGAATGTTTGGTTTATATGAATTGTTAAAATAGCACAAAAACTGAGGAACGAGATAGGTGTCAGAAAACGTACGGCAGAAAAAAATTATCTCAATATAGTGAATGCTGTGAAACGTTCACACAATAAAACATTTAAATACATAAAGAGGTAAAAAAAACATTATAATTCCAAACAAATTTGATGCACGCAAACTACACAAAAACACACTAAGCAACTAATTCATTTTGCCACCATGCACACAAAGGGTCATAAATATGTTTCAAATTACAAGATATATCAAATTTAATGTTTTATTTTACCCATCCGATTCATGGTCGAGCTGATCACAGAACTCCTTGATGCTGTCCCAGTCTGTCTCCTTATTCAGAGGATTGGTGGTCTTGTCTGGAAAATAAAACCATTAAAGATCACCTGTTTTCACAGCAGGTGAAGTGAATATTCATATTGTGTTGACAGTTCTTCCTCGTTGTTTTCCCCCCGCAGACAAAGTTTTCAACACTTTAACACTGTGGCATTTTGTGTAACAGTATAATTTCGTGCAGATTAATGAAGTTTAGAGAAAAATGCGAGTTTTAAACTATAAGAAGAAGTTCTTGGGGCTGTGTTAGCTTCCGCTGAGCTGATCTTAAAGGAGGAAGGATAGCTTCAGGATTGAACATTTCCAGGATGTTTAAATTTTCCAGCCGAGTATTGTCACAATTTTAAGGTTGTCAGTGATAAAAAAAAAAAAAAAACACAAATTAAAACGTAAAACACGGGGCAAGGTTTGCCAATCTTTGTTCCCCCTTTTTTCTCGTGTTTTCTTGTTTTCATTCACAGACTCTGACAAATCATTACAAAGTTGTCAATGACAGCTGAACATTTGGTGCCATTTTATACGTCCGGGTCAACGTATTTTCGTAAAAGCCAGGTTTCGGTTTTTGTTCCTTTTTTAGAAAAATGTCGTCAGGTACTTTGTTTTTAACGTAAAGACTTACTGATGAGAGACTGTAGGCTGGTCTCATCTGAAGGCGCCGCCGCCATCTTTCGCTATTTCTTTACCGAGTGGCTACGATCACGTGACTTTTGTAATTTATCGCGTGAATAGCCATGATCTATGGAAGACCATTAGCACATAAAATAAAAACGATTGGAAGTCTAGTTGCAGTTTTTGGTGTGTGTAGCTGGGAATCTTCTATGTAAAAACATCCATCTCTAGCATCTCAGCTATAAATGAGATTCAGATAAGGATTAGCCCATAAAAACACCATCTAGCAATCCTAGTAACTAAAAAACATTTACTCTTCCTTTGATGACAGTAGCTGTACATACATTATCTGTGCCAAACATATATTACCACGTCTTTATCATAATATTGTGAAACTTTATTTTAATGTGGCTCCATTGTGATTATGTATTTAAAATATTGTATTGTTTTAGTTTTACTCATGTAGCTTTCAGTTTTRATGTTCATAGTTTGATTTCAGTGTTATACAATGGTCTGCTCAAAATGTGTATTGTACATAAGCCTGTYTAAGTTGTTAAAGTAAAATTAAGGAGGAAAACAATTGTCATCTGCASCAAAAAATAAATATTTACCTGCCTTCTTTTACAAAAAAAAAAAAAGGGAAGAAAAAAACTTACAACGCTTGTCCGATGACACTGCATACAAAAAATAAYGACATGGCCGTCCGTGCAAATATTGTTGATTGTTTACATAGACAAGTTTCAATTAATTTTGTCATTTTAATATAGGAATGAATGACATACTCTTAAAGTTAGGCACGTAGTAATTATTAGTATTATATGTTGCAACTATAAGACACAGGCTATGACTGATGTTGCCTTTGTCCAAAAAGCTTTACTTTTTAAGTGCAACACTTAAAACGGGCTCCTCTCTCACCCTGTGTATTTGCTGCAGTAAAAAAAAAAGTTTCTCAATACAAACCCATGACATGAGGTATGTTTTTTTTTATATATATATTAAATATATTAAAAGTACAACAACAATAGTAACTTTTACGTTTCTCCCCACATTGAAATAAATACATTAAAATAAATAAATTTCACGTTTCAATAAACAAGGAAAGGTACACATTTTTGGTCACATTGGGTTTCCATACATTGAAGGACGAGTGTTTGGCTCCCCCAGATGGCTGTGAAGTCTCAGAACAGAAAAATGTTCCAGGTGTGAGCTGCTGCCAGACGTTTTTTGGTAGCTCAGATGGGGAAGGTCATTGTTTTGATAAACATCACATATCCGGTATGAATGTTGGTTTGCGGGTTTCGGTTTTCTCGTRTAGACGAGCGCGCGAGGTAGCGACAAGGATTTCTTAATTTAATAAAAGCGTCGCAGATTGTAGCAGCAAAACGAAAAGCTCGTTGTGTTTTTCCACATCAAGGAGGAGGAGGAACCAGTCATCTCTGCGTCGACAAAGAGGAAAAAAAAACATCTTCAGATCTTGAGCTCACAGGAGAACTTTGCTTTTGAGCCTCTGAAAATCAGAGGTGTTGTAAACCGGTTCGTTTTCATTTTGATCTCGCTCTTCTTCTTCTTCTTCGCACAGGAAGTTTACAAAGTTAGCTAACCTCTCGCAAGCCACGCTGCACTGTYGTATTTATAACTCGTCTCAGAGAGGCTGTATGAGGTTCGCTCAGGGTGTTGCCTGTCTGCACCAACAGAACCGAACCGAACCGAACCACCCATCGCTGCTGCTGCTTTTTGCGTCCTGACGCTTTTTAGGACGAGACGAACGCAGCTGCTTCTCCTGGGAAATAACACCAATGTGTTGAACCAGACCCACAATGGGATCTCTGAAGGCTCTCCAGGAGTGGTGTCGGACCCAGTGCGAGGACTATGTGGACATCCGGGACATGTCCTCGTCCTTTCGGGACGGCTTGGCTTTTTGTGCCATCATTCATCGTTACAGACCAGATTTAATGTGAGTAGTTAAATGATCCGTCTCCTACATGACATGAGATAACGGGTTATTTTATTACAGTTTTGTGCCTTAAAAAAGAAGAAAAAACTGGTGTCACGTTTTGTTTTTACATTCAGTCACAAATGCAATTCTTAAAATTAATCTGTGCTAAAGATTATTCTAATGGGCATTTTAGAAGAGCAGGTAAATTATTTTACTTTAAAGTGCCTGTGACATGCCTATCCTTCAAATAGTCCTGATGCATCTCAGTAATCCAGGTAAAAAATCAAAAAGAAAATAATTGTACAACAATACAATTTTTTTCTTTTTTATCCTTCAAATACAAAAAGTCAAAGAAAGCATCTTTATACTTAAGAAAATTGACATAGTACACATGATTTTACCCATTTTTTCACATAACTGGCCTATTTTCTTTTGAATTTGGCTCAGCCGGAGTGAAACAGGAAGTGACATCAAAGGGGAACTCATTAAAAAATAAACTGGCTGGTCTCAGTTTATTAAAACAAAATTATTTAAACTTTAACTCTTCATCTCTCTTTGATAGCGACTAAAATTAATCTAAAGAAACATCAGATTCTTCTCTACAGTGTGTTGTTAGCTGTTGTAACAACGCTCTGTTTACATGCAGTCATTCCCCTTTGACATCACTTCCTGTTTCTTCACATGCAAATATCTCAACAAGCATTCATCTGAGCGACATGAAATTTGTTTTGCAACATGTTACCAGTGTTAWCTTTCCAAAAATGCATTCATGTTTATTACAAAAAATTGATGTCACRGACACTTTAAAAAAAGTTAAATGCTGAGATGACACACTCAGAGTGTGAGTTGTGAATGACTCTCAGCTACTACCACACCTATTTTAGCACTATACAGTCTTCTTTCCTAAAAGGRTTTTATTAGTTCATGAGACATTAAAACAAAAACAATTGACTCCAAATAGTAAAACTCAGAATATGTGTTRAGTCTCACTACCACATCAAATTCAAGGTTTTTACTTGTAAATTCACAAACAGATACATGAACACACATTCACCTTTTTGACAGCAGAGACTAAAAATAGTATGATCGATTTAGATGTATGTGTATTTTGTAATCACTAAATCAGAGGTCAAAATAAGGCCGATATTTCAAACCTACACACGATACCACAAAACACAATACTTTCTGTCTGTGGTTTAATTACAAAGTGAGGCGACGGTGYCATGTCATTGTTTTAGTGGAGATCATAACAAGCACAGAGGAGTGATTTTATAGCCAGAACATCTGGTGGAAAGGTTTTAATGTTTGCATGAAAATGTCATCTTGATATGTTTCAACACGCGCCATTATATATTTGTATAATAGTAAAATCACTTAGGCTGAAATAAGGCAGTGCAGAAAACTATTTAAGCATTAAAATGTAAAGTTTTCTGCAAAATGGTTACAGAAAATGTAAATTTAATGTAATTCCACGTTTTTTTTTTCTTTGTACAGTGACAGCAAACATCCATAGAAACTCTGACCTTTTCTGGATATGTATTTGTGTAAAAGTGCTGTCTCTGGAGCATAACGCAGCTTCTGTTTGTGGAGGATGCTGCTGACAGCTTCAAGATTTCCTGCACAAGCCAGTCAAAAGTGCTCATTGTTGTAGGTGGATTGTGCTGGAAATAATGTCCTTCCTGTGTCCTGGGTGGCAAAGAGAAAACATCTGGTGGGGTGATTGTAGACCGTAGGCATCTTTCTTCCCCTATTAACTCCCCGGCGAGCCAACTGGACCGAGCTCGGCTCAGCTGGTCACCGACGAGGCTTAAAGCACAAGAATGAAACAGTTTTAAGAGCTTTGCTTTGTCGTCTCYTTGTTTAACTTTCTCTTGGGCTGCAGACAATCAGACCAACTTGCTCTGATCCGGACTGACAGTCCATCGGAGTAATCTGGGCCCGAGACCTTGGCCTGTCAGACTGGATTTAGGCCCTACGGATCCAGGCCGTTGTGAAGCTGTCCGGCATGCTGCAGCCAGCAAGTTTTAGGATAATAATATATAAAGAGTCAGTGATGCAAAGGAGAAACGTTAGCACAGCACATAGCTTCATCACGGCTCCTTTAGCCAAAARCAACCGTCGGATTAAGAAGTGATGTTTGCAACGAAATCACTTGACCCTCAGTTTTCAGTTTGCCTAGCAGAGGCTCTGGTTCGGTCAGGTTATTATTYTTTTTTTGATCTTGCGGGTTTTAAAGGCGGTAACGCACTCAGAGAGATGGCACCACTCTTTCCCAAAATAAATCAGGATTGAGACCYAGTCGTGGAGGATTAGGGCTGTAATTTTGACCTCGCGCTTCGTCTGCTCTGTCTCGTGACCGTTGAGAACATGAGAACATCAGTGTAGAAGTGTGAAGCAGTCTTTCGTCTGGGAGTGACAGACAGGTTAAAGTTAGGGGCTTTTTATAACCTTTCTTCACATTTCTTCTAATATTTCGTAGATTACTCTGATGTTGGAGTTGTTATCGGTAGCTGCTGTTGGCATGATTCAGACTCTTATCAGAGACGATCTAGGTTTGAATCGCTGCAATTCCAGGTGTGTTGGACTGACACAGTCCTGATATTGGACCGGCTGCATGTTCGTGTCCATGGGAACTAGATTAGAGAGAACAGAGGTCACTTTGTGCGGCTCCAACACGGAGCTCATTCAGAGGATTTTGCCTCCTTGAAAAACCCACATGGTTTCCACAAGCACTCATCAAGGTCGCAGTGGGTTTTTCCTTCTTCTTAACATAGTTTTGTTCACACATTAAATGCACAGAAACATAATTATCCCAGACGTTTTCCAGTTTTACAGCAGGAAGTGTGCCGGCAGGAGGCTGATTTTAGTTCCTCGCTTCGAGCATTTCAGAGCCGAGCCTTGTAATTATCAGCACAACTCTTAATATGATGCTTGTTTCCTTTTGCTGGGGAAGGTTTTGCACCTCAAACATAATTTATATACAGTTTAGATTTAGAAATTGTCCTCTGTGGTATGCAGGAAACTGCTGATCGTCTGGCCTTAAATAGCGCTGATGTTTCTTGCCATAACTCCAGTTACGTCAGCGAGCTCAAAGCAGCTCTGTCCTGCACCAGCGTGGCTTTTATCACTTTTTTTACAGTCTTCTGTAAAACCCAAACTGCCTACCTGCACATTCTTCCTTTTAATCCCAGGTTGTGTGTTTGTCATTTCAGAAACTTTGACTCACTGTCTAAAGAAAACGTCTACGAGAACAATCGACTGGTGAGTCCCGTTACAAACTCACGGTGATGTCATGTTTGTTGGAACTTCCTCTTGGATAATAAGCAAAATATGAGCTCATTTAAGGGATTTCTCATAGGTGCGTCTGGTTTTGGCCATGAAAACGATTACGCTTTATGAGCGCATGCAGTCAGATTTGGGTGAGACTTTGATGTGTTTAACGGCCTGTTTTTGAAGCAAACACTTTTTAATCCTGGTGAGGGCACAGGGCGGGGGTGGGGGGATTCTTGACACAAGCCTGGGAATAAATCACGAAGAGAGGATTTAATTTAGAAATGCATAAATGTGCACATTTATAAGTCGGTGTGGATTAAGCGGGGCGTGGAATCCACTTTTACGACACAAATTTTTATGTTGGAATGAAGGGACTCAAAGAACCAGAAAAATAGACACTATTATTCTGTTTGCAAATTCCTCCTAGTCTAATCTCTTGTACCAAACTTATGTTATATAATTAACTAGGGATGTCCCGATACCACTTTTTCACTTCCGATACGATACCGATATTGCAACTTTGAGAATTGTCCGATACCGATATTGATTCATAACCAAAACAGTACAAGTCACACACTTTTACCTATTTTGTAGTGTAAAATCTTAGAAAAGT